GGGGGCGACCGCGGAAAGGGGAACGGCGCTGGGAAGTGCCGTGAGAGGAGGAGGAGGCATAGCCCGTGCGTTGGGGCTGGGAGGAGGAGGCGGGGTGAAGACGGGCTCGCATCCGCTGGTGGTCCCTGGCGGCCTCGTAAGCCTGTGGGGCCGATGTGAACTCGTACCGCCATAGCTCGAAGCGGTACTCGAGCGGAAGGCTGGCCAAGAAACGATCGATAAGGGCAGCCTCGGGGAGGAACGCCACGTCGCAAACGAGGCGGCGTCCTGAAAGACCTGGATGTGGCGATCCAGGCCGGCAGCGCCACCAGAGCCGGACCAACGTGTAGTGACGCCACGCTCGAAGGCGTCAGTCACGTCGTATCGGGCTCCGAATCGATCCTCGAGGAACCCCTGGAAATCCACGAAGGTCGAAGTCCGACCCTCACGAAGGAAGTAGGCATAGAAATCCTCCCAGGCCTCGAAAGGACCGCTACGCAGGCGCGTGGAGAGGTGATCCACCCACGTCTCGGGTGTGGCGCCCATGAGCTGGAGTGTGTGGGTGGCAGACTGCAGCCATCGAGACACGCGTATGCCTGTACCGTCATACAAGGCAATGTACGACAAGCGTATGAGTGGTGCGCCACCGTTTTGGCAGCGAGGGGATCGAGGAGCGGAGGCCTGTGCCACGGCTGAGTAAGTCGGCGCAGGTCCTGGAGAAAGGGGCGCAACTGACTGTGCGCCCGGGCCGCATGGGGGAGCGGCGGTGGCAACAGCGGCAGATTGCGAGGGACCGCAGGAGTAGGAAGAAGGTAGGAAGGAGTTGTATAGGGTGCAGGGCGCGGAAAGCGAGCCTGCATGGGAGGAAGGGTAGTGGAGGTAGGGGGTGCGCTCGAAGGCGCGGCCACCTGTGAGGGTGGGGGTGGCTGAAGGCGTAAGAGGGCGAGGTCGGCCCGGAGCTGGGCAATCTCGTCCGCGAGACCTCGAACGTAGGTCGATCGAGGGGTGGCAGGAGGAAGAGTGGAGGGGGKGGACGCACAAGCGGCGCGGGGCATCCCAGAGGGGGGAGATCCAGGTGGCGCTCCGGTCGTGCGAAGGGGAGGGAGAAGCGGGGCACCCAGAAAAGCTGAGACCATGGTAGCGGGTTGTTGTTCTGTGGCCGTAGGGACCAAGATCTGGGTGGGTGCGCCCGTAGACTGAGGGGGGGCCTGGCTCGTGGCGGCCGTCGTGCTAGGGGCGTGGACAGTCACCAAGATGGCCGGGTCAGGGGCAACGGAGGAGGAGGCTCCGCCGTGGCCACCCTTTCGGAGGACGGGGGACCCGGACTGGGAGCCAGGAGATGATGGACATGCAGCGTCCTGGAGTTGCTGCATGCCGACGGCAAGGGTCGCCACCTACGCCTGTAAGGGCGCGAGGGTCGCGAGTTGTGCTTGGATGGGCGCAAGGGTCGCGAGTTGCGGCTGGATGGGCGCAAGGAGGGAGGTGAGGAGGGTATGTAGATCCCCCTGGGGCTGATGGCCCTGGTCCGCCAGCACGGGTGTGGAGCCCGATGCCGTGGTCATCGCCGTGTCGGCGGCGTGTGACGCACCGTCGGCCATGGGGAGATGACGGACCGGACTGGAGGGGGGCAGAAGAGGTCTGCGTGAGCGGAGGGCGTAGGGGGAAGTCCGCGGAAGAAAGCGGCGAACGGCGCTAGCAAGGCTAGCACGGGCGCCGTCAAAGGGGGAGGGGTGGTTCGGGTCCAGGGTGCCCGAAGAGGACGGGGAAGTAGGGGGGTTTTGAGGAACCCTAAACCCTACAAAAACCCTAAGAAAACCCTTACCGAGGTTTAATTGGCTAGGGTAGAATATCGGTGACCTAATCAAGAAAGTAAAATAACAAGCATGGGGGGGGGAAGGACGGGAGAAAAATAAATAAACAGCGAGATTTCGAGAGAAAATAAAAATAAATAAGAAAATAAATAAATAATAAAATAATTAAAGAAATAATTAAAGAAATAATTAAAGAGATGTGAAGGGAAACAATATTTATTTTTTTGAAATTTTTGGCAGCATTTCCCTACCCCGCACGGGATCAAGAATGTGCCAAGGGAAAAGGAGAGACCAAGGTGAACACATTAGGAATGCCGCAAATAATATAAAAAAAAAAAAA